AGGGAAGCCCTAATGCATATGTTTCAGTGCCAAAGAACAGACTTTTGGATGCAATGGTGGCGAGGAGAGTGTAGGAAGATTTGAGAGAGTAGCATTGAAATAAATCAGATTTTTTTAGCAGCAGTAGTGAGGCATAACTGACAGAACAAACCACACATATTCAAATTGATTTGGGTTTCTTTGACATATTTATACTCCTGTGAGACCATCATCACAATCAAGATAATGAACAAAGCCATCACCTCTTGATTTTCTCTTAAGACCCTCCGTATTCCCTCTTTCTTCTTCTCCAGCTCCATGCTTTCTCAAGAACTTACCTGTTTTCTGTCATTGTAATAGGTTTGAATTTTCTAGAATTATATACAGATGGAAGCATGCAATCTGAATTATCTTTTGTCAAGCTTCTTTCAATTCAGCATAACTATTGGCGATGTTACTTTGTGCATCAATAGTTCATTTATTTTTACTACTAAGCACTATTACACCCCATGGATAGACCACACTTAATACATTGAATTGTTGATAGGCATTTGACTTGCAGTCAGTTGGGCTATATTAAATAAAGCTGCTTTAAACATTCCGGTAAATATCTTTGCATGGATGTGTAATTTTATTCATCGGGGGCAAATATCTGAGGGTAGAATGGCTGGGTCACATGGTTGGTACATGTTTAAGTTTTTAACTTAAAAACCTGTTTTACTACACTGGTTGTGCCAGCTTCCATTCCCACCAGCAGTGCATGAAAACTATATCCCATTTGGTGCTACGGTCTATAGTTTTAATTATTTTATGTTGATTGATTGTGCTTAAATTTTTTTTTTATATTCTCAGGGATTTTTATTGTTCAATTGGCATTTCAATAGAGGAGGCCAGTATTAACTGCTCCACAATTATAATATTTACTTCTCCTGAGTTCTATTGATATTTGCTTCGTGTATTCAGTTATGTTTAGGAATGTTAGGCCTATTTGATAAATTTCCTTTTATAATCTTTATAAGTGCTCTTGTTATGTCAGATGATATACCTCTTATCTTGAGGTCTTGTTTCTGAGATACTGATACAGCATTTCAGTTAATTTATGATTATTATTTTATGGTATATTTTTCTCCTTGTCCTTACAAGCTATCCATGTATTTGTAATTACATGACTTGTTTAGTATGTTGTTGGGTTAGGTTTTTAAATCCCAAACTAACAAACACTACATGTTACTTATAGTGTTTTATTCATCTCTTTTTATTGCAGTGATTCATTTCGTTGAATTTGCTATACAATCTTCAGTTTGCTTCTTCCCTTGCATTCTCCTCTTTATTATTGCACTAATAAAAAATTTCTAGAATCTTACTTTCCCTTTCTTGGTCACATGATATGGCATTTTGTTTATTTTTAGTGATTGCTCTGGTGAATTTGGTGTGCACCCATCATTTCTCACAGCAGCCTACTTGAGCAATTCTTACATCACTTTATCTATAATGTAAGAAGTTGAATAACAGATAGTGTAATTTCCCACATCCCTTTATTTTCACCATATTCATCATTGATTTTATTCTACATGTTATATATCTGGTAATATTGTTATTGATTTATAAATAGTAGATATTTTTAAAGTATTAATAAAAATGCAAAATAGCTTTTTATAATTATCTATACATATTTACTATTTCCTTCTAATTCATTACTAGATGTTGGTCCAAGTGTCCTTCATTCTGAAGTGTCTCTAGTTAATAGTTCTATAGTGCAGTGGTGCTGATTACTTTCCCTAACTTGCTGTATATCATCCTTATTTTGAAGGACATATAATTATAGGTTTGCAAGTTTTTCTCTCAGAACTTTTTGTCTGTCATTCTCTTTTCATCAGTTATTTCTGATGAGCACTTAATGGACATTTTCATTGTTTCCATTTTTATCTTAACATTTTTAGTGATTTTACAATAATAACATGATTTTGTTTGGTTTTTTTCCTTACTTGTTTGTTCAGTGTCTTTTTAAGTGTGATATTGCTCTGCACATTTGAAAAACCATTGGTTATTGTTATTTTCTCTCCTTTCTCTTTTGGAATCCAATTATATAGGTGTTATACTATTTGAAATTGTTCCATAGTTATTGAAATTCTCCTTATTTTTAAAAAATATTTTTTTCTGCTGCTGAAATTATCGCTCTACTTTAATTCAAATAATTAAAAAAAACCTTTAAAGTCAATGTTATTTTCTTCTATAATGTTTGATCTTTTGATATAACCATTTTGATTTTGGATATTATATCATTCAGTTGTAGGAGTTTCATTTTTTTGTTTGTTTGTTTTCTTTCTTTGCTATGTTTTATTATGTGGTCACTAAAATATTTGATTTAGACAGTTATCATCAATAACTGGCAAAACTTTAAATGAAAGAGTGATGAGAAAATTCATAATAAATGATTCAAGTGCCAGGACATGAAGCTAGTAATGAGACTTAGGAGCAAGAACAACATCAAGACTGGATATAAAATGTGACAAAACTAAGAAATTTTTACCTTCACATATTAAGCAATATGAAATGTAGAGTATCAGTTATGAGTATTGTTGACAAACATGTAAAATTGCATCTAATCAAGATTCTACTAACTTAAAGTAAATAAAGAAATATATTAAACCACACTGTGGGGATGCAGTCAGAAAATCCATAATGTGGGAAAATCTATAGGATCAATTACTTTTCTCAACACATAAATGGAAAGAAAAGTTAAATTTATAGTGATGAGACTTGTGAATTAACTGAGATTTAACAAATGTCTCAACAAACTACATGGTGTAGAAATAGCTGCATCTTGACTCAAAGATGTTTAAATAATTTTAATTTAAGTGTTGTTTGAATATTTAATTGTATTGAAGACATTCTTAATTTTTAGTAGTCAATTTTGATTTTTAAAAGGTACTCACACACACATATATAGCATGTGTGCCCAAGTCTGCTTGTGTGTGTAATGAATATTTAAAATGATAGGACATTTTGAATTATTTTTAATATCAGGAAATAACCATGTATACAGATTAAGCAAGACTGATCATGTCTTGATAATTTTGAACCTAAATGATGGCGTATTCATTATACTATTCTATGCTTAGATGTATGAAGATATCATAATATAAACTTAACTTTATAAAGTTTACCTGACATTACATATCACTGTTAGTGATAGTTTTCCAAATTTATGCAAAGTATCTTTTCATAAAGAAAACTGTACTTGTTACAAATGTTTTCATTGTTCATTGCTATCAGAAATATGTGTTTTATCAATTTCTAAGCAACAGACATAATTAAAATTTCAAATATTGAACATAAGGGTAAAATTAATCTCAGTTTTTACCTCAGGTGAATTTTTCTTGATTTTCATTAAGTAAACTTATAACAAAGAATATATCTGCTTGAAGGAATTAGAGAAGGACCATGGAATTCCCATTAACAACAGTATGTTCTTTGTTAATTAGCCTTTTTTAACAACTCTTACTAACAAGAGCCAAAGACCTAAGAAATCTGTCAGGGACTATCAAAGACATGTGGAGAAAATTCAAGCAAGGTCGTATGAAAAACTCCTAACTGAGAAAGATTTGATGACTTTTATGTTGATTAGGGCATTGTTAGATCTGACAAAACTATTTTTCTTCCTTAATCCCAAACAAATCCAATTTGGTTATATGAAGACTATGTAAATATGAGAAATGCAAAGTTATTCTGTTTCATTTAAAGGTGAGAATTACCAATCATTTCATGGAGAGTTGGTATGATCAGTATATCAGGTAAATGGAAAGTTCTAAATTGAAAAGTCCCTAGCTTGTTTTTTTTTTGTCTTAATATTTAAATACTGAAAGATACCTTTCATCTGCATTTTACTTATTATGAACATTCAGCCATGTTACCCAAGCACTGTAATTTTTATTTTATTTTCTATAAATGGCTTTGTTTCTTTGTTAAGATAAAAAAAAACATTTCTTTGGTATATATTTGCAATATAAAAATATCTTAGAGTTTCTATTCACAAAGTGTTTCATAACATCAGTATTATGAATTAGTATAAAATTTTAAGTCCCTCAGATCTTAAGTTGAATTTTCTTTTTTTTAAATATTTAATTAGCTATGTAAAGTAACATAATTTGAGAAACTGAATGAGAACATATTTCTATTGGAAAGGAGAAGAAATGTCACATTGTCGCCTGGTTTGATAGTTGATTTAATGGAATAGTTTGAGTTTTACTGAAATAGAGAGAAGTAAGCAGGTTTAACTTTTAAAAACATATCAGTGGCAGTTATCAGTCAAGGAGATTTTTAGGGCAAATTTCCACCTTCAGGCAGATTTATGACAATAACTAAGCAGAAATTTGTAATTGTTCTGTTCAAATTATTGCTACAAAATATGATTAACTAGCTTACCTGGAAAATAAATGCATATTTTTTCCCATTTTTACAGATGCAAAAGTTGTATCATGCCTTTAATAATTCTGTGAGAAAGTGTGTGTGTGTGTGTGTGTGTGTGTGTGTGTGTGTGTGTTAGGAGATTCAGGAGAATTTATTTATTTATTTATTTATTTTTTAATTTATTTATTTTAATTGGAAGCTAATTACTTTGCAATATTGTAGTGGTTTTTGCCATACATTGACATGAATCAGCCATGGGTGTAAACGTATTCCCCATCCCAATCCCCCCTCCCACCTCCCTCCCCATCCCATCCCTCTGGGTCTTCCCAGTGCACCAGCCCCAAGCACTTGTCTCATGCATCCCACCTGGACTGGCGATCTGTTTCACATATGATAATATACATGTTTCAATGCTATCCTCTTGGATCATCCCACCCTTGCCTTCTCCCACAAAGTCAAAGTGTTATTTTTTAAATGTCAAAATATTGTTTTATCTGTTCTCTAGGAATATGAAAGATACGTAAGAGTTGAAAATATTACAAGGGAGCTTATGAGTTTTGTTTGCAGCACACTGTTTCCTCTGAAGAGTACCAGTTGAAATCCAGAGAAAAATGAATTGTTGGTTATTGCTGCCTTTTATGTTGGGAATTCCTCTCCTATGGCCTTGCATTATAGCAGCAGAAAACAAAACAGAGGAGGTGAGGCACCCAGCGGGATCTCATTTGAGAATCAGGCGTGGCTGGATGTGGAACCAGTTTTTTGTACCAGAGGAAATGAATAAGACCAGACATCACATTGGCCAGGTACTGATTTTCTGAAAGTGCTACTGGAAATAACCTTGTAAATCTAATCGAATGAGTTGAGGAAGCTTCCGTATTTGATGAATTTTTCATCTTCTCAGTGGAACTATTAGAAGGGCTCAAACAACAGCATACTGATTGTTTCATATTTGCAAGCACCTGAAATATTCACAGAACTTGAAGAAGAGGGAAAGGTCTGCTTTTCAAATTCCACTTTAGTCTCTCATGTGAAAATGCAGCATTTATCAACATCTGGAAATCTGATGGTGTTATTTTTGGTAATGGATCAAAGCAACAGTAATGTTTACTGACAGTATTTAGCAGAATTTTCCATTATGCTAAGTGGGTGTTGATTTACCCCTCATTAAATTTTAATGAAATAGATTAATACCAAATCCTTTTACAGTCAGGTAGCTTCAAGAACCTACACACTTCATTTGATTAGTGAAGTTGAAGTAAAACCAATAATTATTTCACTTCTCTCTATAAAAACATTTTAAGAAAATGTCATTAATGACACAAAACATTTCCTACTTATGTTTTCAGTTTTTATTCTTATTTAATTTTCTTTAAACAGAGGTAATTATAATATCATGTCCTTCTTCTCTGTAAGGCTCTTTCTCTGGATGAATGAACTGAAATAAGTTTAACCGCTAATTAACTAGCACTAAAATTTAATTGGGCCCAAAGGGTGAAGCACTCAAAATTCATTAACTCCCTCCTTCTCGCCCTTTCAAGAGAGCTTCTGTGTTAGTGTGTTCTCTGGATTCCACACGAGTTCATCTGGCCTTCAGCCAAATATATGAGTACATTCAACCAATGACCTCGGCTAGGATTTTAGGCTGATTTCAGTCATTGCTGTGTGTGTGTGTACCTGCTATAAGTAATATTTCTCATGCCTTTTTTGACTTTTAGTGGTAAGGCTCTAAGGGAAGTGCATCAGTGCAATCAGAATGAGGACTAGTGATGTGATTAATTCACATTTTCTTGTTTCTTTTTTTTTTTTTTTGCTCACTACAGATAACTTCCATTTCCTCCTTTCATATAGCATTTAGCTTTGTTTTTCATTCTGTAAAAATATTTATGAAAATATTCTAATAGATATCTTTCCTCTAAACAACCTCATTAGGCTTAAAAAACATACAGGCAACTGTTTAAAAGAAAGTAATAGTGAATATTTACATGTTTGTAGTGACAGAGCTGGTAAAAAGACAATGTAGCTGACATGTCCAAAACCACTTTCTTTTTGATCAATTTGTTAAAAGGGGTTAAAATTTGGAAGCACAATTAAGGAAAGATTCAGTCATATTGATTTGCCAAATTGATAGTAAATACATAATTGAAAAAAATGATTTTGAATGGAAATATAGAAAATGTATAACCATGAAATTGAAATGTTTAACTTAAGCATTTTGTGACATAAATAGAAAGATGTTGAAATTATGGTTTTTATTTTCATTAAATCTGAATCCTAAAAAGATCAAGCTCACTGATCTATGGCAATTAAACTGAATATACTTGAAATGCATTTATTCATGACTAAATCTGACTTTCCTTCATCCTGATATTCGAACTACATTGAAATGATATTGTAAACCAGGGGCTGTAATTCTTCTCATTTCTAATACTTATTTTAGAAAATCCATTGTTTTCCTTAATTTCTTATCATTAGGGCATGTGGACTTCACTTTTATGAATAATTAAGGACTTTCAAAATTTAAGAGCTGTAATTCTTTTTTCATTATTTCCAATTTGTTTCTTTTATTGTAAAACAGTGATTCAAGACAACACTATAATTATTAAATTATTCATTTTGATATCTTGAGTTATTCTCCTCATATAGAAAAATGTATTAATTAGTCCAGAATAATGATACATTGTACCTTGAGCTGTCAGAAAAATTATGAAATTAAACTTGTGTCTATTGGTTAAATGTGTAACTTTTCAGAGAAACTCTTACTTTGAAGAAGGGCATATTCATAAATAGTGTTCCCCAGTTGGCACAGTGGTAAAGAATTCACCTGCCAATACAGTAGATATGAGTTCGATCCCTGGGTCAGGAAGATCCCCTGGAGGAGGAAATAGCAAACCACACCAGTATTCTTGCCTGGAAAACTCAATGTACAGAGGAGAACATGCACACATCAGTATTCTTGCCTGGAATAACATGGACAGAGGAACCTGGTGGGCTATATTCCATGAGGTCACAAGGAGTCATACATGACTGAGCACACACACACATTCATAAATTGGAATATGAATAAGGAATCAAGAAAACCATGGATTCACGATAATTATGAGGTTACTCTCTAATGCTTCTTTTCTTTATGTAAAATAAGTTAGATATGAAAAATCATGTAGTATTATCTATATCATAACCCTTTTTAATGTATAAAATTCAAAATTCCATTAGCACTATGATAAATAAGCTATTTAGTGAGAGCCAAAGAATAGGTATATTTGAGAATTAAGTGGACTATATTGGAAAGAAAGAATTAGATCTAATTTGGCTAAAATTTGAGGACTCAAAGACCATGTAACATAGTGGTTTCTAAGAGGGGAGGAGCTATGTAGGCAAGGGTCTGGGGTCAAACAGGGCTTTGGTCCAAATCATAATTCAACCCCCAAACCATACAACTCTGTGAAAGTTTTTACATTTTTAAATCTCACTTCTCTTCTCTATTCAAAGAATTTATTAAGTCAACAATATGTATTACACAATATTAGTATGAGGATTAATTGAAAAAACTAATATAAAGTAATTTTCAGATTTTATGGATGACTGAGATTATTATCATAGTCTCAACATGCTCCCTAATTTTCTTACTAATATTTCCATGTCTTCTATGTGTTTTTAGCCTAGAGATAGAACATCACTATTTAAATTTATGTAAGTCATTATCTCTTTAACTGTCTCTAGATCCGGATCTAATATAAATATTTGAGAGCATGATTTTAATGACTAAAAATGTAATCATCTGAGTAAACATGAACCGACTGTGTTGTGCATAATGTGTAAAAGAGACTTTGTTTTTCAATCTTTATCGTTTCTAATTGGAATCATCTATTTAGAGTAATAAAATTTGTATAGTGATTTACAGTGAAAATTCAGAGTCATCTGCCTGGTAATAGATTTTAATCTTAAACTTAACATTTCACCTCATTTAATAGAATATGGGAATTATATGAAATTATTAGTTTGGAGAATAATTAGCAAACATGAAAATGAAACAATGAAAATATTTTAACATATCTGGACAATAAACCATCTCTCTTTGCACTTGCAGCTAAGATCTGATTTAGACAATGGAAACAACTCTTTCCAGTACAAGCTTTTGGGAGTTGGAGCTGGAAGTATTTTTGTCATTGATGAAAGAACAGGTGACATATATGCTGAACAGAAGCTTGATAGGGAGGAACGGTCCCTCTACACTCTCAGAGCCCAGGTAATCGACACCAATACTGGAAGGGCTGTGGAACCTGAGTCTGAGTTTGTCATCAGAGTGTCGGATATCAATGACAATGAACCAAAATTCCTAGATGAACCTTATGAGGCCATTGTACCAGAGATGTCTCCAGAAGGTATTGCATATTAATTTACATCAAAGATGTACCTGTTAACAATGAAAACAGATTTAAAATTTCAAGCATATGTTTTGAACATGAATTATTTAAAGTTCTACCTGGGTACTTCCTTCTGCAAATCTGTTAAGTAAAATATTTGAAAATTTTGACTATACACTAAAATTTTATAAACAATGATGCTATTTATTAATAGATAATTTGTCTTGTTAAAATATAATTTCAGTCTTCAATAAAAAAAGGTTAAACATGTTTGAGTGATAAATGAAATTATTTAACTTGTTCACTTATTAGTTTCTTCCATATAAGAATTTACTTTCCAAAATAAACTATACTTTTGCATCTCAAAAAAACATATAAGATCATCTCCATTTAAAAATAAGAGAAACAATTTTATAAGGCAAAAAAAAACTATATTTATCCAAACAATTGATCATGAAAACTAAAAGCAAAACATTTGAAGATCTCTGTGTAGCCACATCCATTTTTAATTTCTTTTTCAAACCCAATATCACTTTAATAAATACTTTAAGTATAAATACTTGTAAAGGAGAATGCTTTCCATAAGATATAATAATTGACTGCCTTGGAAATCAGAATTGTTTCCAATAGGGGGAAAATTATCATACAATCATACAAAGTTATCCGCTCTTCCTTTGTTAGAAAATTGTAATAAAACAACAAATAGTATATAAATTTTAATTCATAAAATGTATTTAATTGTGATAAACTTGAATTTATTTAAGTGTGATTTATTAATGATGATTTTTAAATTATGTTAAGGTGCTTTAAAACTGCCTTATCTGAACATTTGATTCATTATCCAGCATGTCTAAAAATGTAGATTCCATAATATACTTTCTTGATTCTTCACCTTTTAACAACTAGCAATTTAAAGACCTATTTCTACATGTATTCAGAACATAGATTTTTAACAACAGCATAAACAAATTTAGCTGTGTAATATATATCAAGGCCAATTATCCTTAGATACAAATGATGAATTAATATTGTCCTGTCTGATCACTAGGCAGTGATATATTTCTTTTTCTCCTTCCATCCTTATCCTCCTCCTCCTCCTTTTCCTCCTAGCTCTTTTCTTTTCCTTCTTCAACAAACATATATTATAGATCTAACATGTTCTAGGAATTTTTTGTGAGACTGGGGATTCGGTTGTAAAGGAAATATATGAAGTAATTGCTAGTTAAAAGAGCTTATATTTTAATTATAGTGCACAAACTGTAAGCAACTATTTTAAAGAGGCCAGGTAATATTTGACCTTATATGTTATTAAACTGTTAAGTATGAGAAAATATGACGATGGCTAATTGACTGGACAAAGTGGAGTCATTTACGAGGTAATATTTAAAGAAAATGATCCAAAGAGGCCAGCCATGCCATGTTCTGGGAAAAAAATTCCCATGGCACAGTGAGCAGAACTGCAGAGGGCATGGCAATGGATGAGATCTCCTTGTTGAAGAACATAGGTAGGGAAAAGGAAAACATCGGGGTGACAGAACTGCTAGATATAAAGGAGATGACTGGTGAAGAAGAATCAGTGGAATTGGACAGTCCTGTAAGAAAAGAAAGACATGAGAAACGATGTTGCAAAAGAAGAGATCCTCCAACTGCATGGAAGCTGCTGTGAGGTTGAATAAAACCAACAGAGAAGAGTGATTTTTTTCCAAGCATTTGTACAAGTTTACATGTAAATTTACATACATAAAATAAGTTTTTGTAAGACGATATGTCTGATAAAGCGGGCAAAGTCAAATATCATCTTAAATTTATTTCCGTAAAGTCCTTTGTAAAAACTATCTTTAAGATTAAGAGGCTATTCAGAACAACAAAGTTGATTTAAATTTTGCATATTTGAGAAAATATCTCAAGGATAATATAGGAAAACAACATCAACTGTCAATGTAATGGATAGAATGCAGACATTCTATATTATATATTTTGTTGTTATAAATTGTGCTTCCCAGGGGGCACTAGTGGAAAAGAACCTTCCTGCCAATGCTGGAGACATAAGAGACATAGGTTATTATATTACATGCTATGCTGTAAGTTTATTAAACGAAGAAGTAAACTGAAAATTGCTCTTAATAAAATCTCAGAAAATGATTTTTTGTAATTATACTTTCTTCGTTTAACAAGATCGATAAAAATTGATTTAAGAGATCTTTAGACTTCAAGAGTCCAATCATTGGCTCTTTGCATTTACAAATAGTTTGGTCATCTGTGACCAAGCTCTGGTGACAGCTCAAAAATTCAGTGACCTTTGGCTCTTTCAGTCACCAAGCGAAGGTTGTCCGTCTCTCTGTTATACTTTCCTTGCTAATTGAACTTCAAGAATCAATTTAAGTTTTTAAGTGTTGCCATAAATTTCCCAATTCTAATTATAGGATGGTGTCATAAGATAGAATAATAGGAGTTAAGGGTGAGAAAATTCAGTGTACACATATACAGGTTTTGGGTTATTGCTCCTTCCCTTAACACAAAATTTTCATGATCATTCTGCATTGTCACAGTGATTCTAAGCAGGTGATCAGCTATCCAGTTCTACCAAGGACCACTTAGTCAAACATATATATATATATATATATATATATATATAGGCAACTTGTACTGGAAGCATTTGTCCCTGATTTTTAATTTAAAAAAATATTAATTCTTGCATTACAATAAACCAGAGTGAATTTTGTAGACATCTACTGTTTTACTTCCAGTTTCTTTAATGATGTTTGAGACATACAGGCAGTGAATGCAGTTCTTTTTAAGACATGATTAAATTGAATGGGGGCTATGTGATAAAACACCATTAATCTAAGAAACTGATCAAATTATGCAAATGTGGATGAAGGATATCCTGATGATATACTTCAGGTTAAAATAGCCTGTATAAGATAACTTTCATTAATGTACATATAGGTCATTTATCCTTTAGAAATATATTTATTTCTAATATAATTTAGAGAGAATTTAATTTTTCACCTATTAATGTTGTCGAGTCAACATTATCAGTTTTAGTGAGAGTACATTAAAATGTTGATCAAATGAATAAATTGAGGCTAAAAAGGTTAGATTATATATATGACATATACTATGCTTCATACACTGATAGAGTGAGTAATACACATTAAAGATGATACTCAACCACCAAGTGTCTGTTATCTATCTTTACTGGTAATACAAGGAAATGGGCACTTTAAACAATCATTGATTATTTCCATGAAAGACACATCATTGGCTTCGTGGTGATTTTGTCAACTTTCTGTGTACTGCATAACATTGCTGACTGCGAGATCTTCATGACCCAGATAACCATGATCGTATGATCACTCAACTAGAGCCAGACATCCTGGAATGCAAAGTCAAGTTGGCCTTAGGAAGCATCACTATGAACACAGCTAGTAGAGGGACGGAATTCCAGTAGATCTATTTCAAATCCTAAAAGATGATTCTGTGAAAGTGCTGCACTGAATAGGCCAGCAAATCTGGAAAATGTACCAGTGGCCACAGAACTGGAAAAGGTCAGTTTTCACTCCAATCCCAAAGAAAGGCAATGCTAAAGAATGTTCAAACCACTACACAATTGCACTCATCTCACTCACTAGCAAAGTAATGCTCAAAATTCTCCAAGCCAGGATGCAACAGTATGTGAGCCATCAGCTTCCAGATGTTCAAGCTGGATTTAGAAAAGGCAGAGGAACCCGAGATCAAATTGCCAACATCCATTGGTCATCACAAAGGCAAGAGAGTTCCATGCCCAGAGCACCTTACCTGCCTCCTGAGAAACCTGTATGCAGGTCAGGAAGCAACGTTAGAACAGGACATGGAACAACAGACTGGTTCCAAATAGGGAAAGGAGTATGTCAAGGCTGTATATTGTCACCCTTATTTAACTTACTGCAGAGTACATCATGCAAAATGCTGGGCTGGATGAAGCACAAGCTGGAGTCAAGATTGCCAGGAGAAATATCAATAACCTCAGATATGCAGATGACACCACCCTTATGGCAGAAAGTGAAGAGGAACTGAAAAGCCTCTTGATGAAAGTGAAAGAGGAGAGTGAAAAAGTTGGCTTAAAGCTTAACATTCAGCAAACTAAGATCATGGCATCTGGTCCCATCACCTCATGGAAAATAGATGGGGAGACAGTGGAAACAGTGTCAGACTTTATTTTTGGGGGCTCCAAAATCACTGCAGACGGTGACTATAGCCATGAAATTAAAAGACGCTTGCTCTTTGGAAGAAAAGTTATGACCAACCTAGAAAGCATGTTAAAAAGCAGAGACATCACTTTGCCAACAAAGGTCTGGCTAGTTAAAGCTATAGTTTTTCCAGTAGTCATGTATGGATGTGCTGAGTGCCAAAGAATTGATGCTTTTGAACTGTGATGTTGGAGAAGACTCTTAAGAGTCCCTTGGACAGCAAGGAGATTCAACCAGCCAATTCTAAAGGAGATCAGTCCTGAATACTCATTGAAAGGACTGATGCTGAAGCTGAAGCTGCAATACTTTGGCCACCTGATGTGAAGAACTGACTCATTGAAAAGACTCTGATGCTGGGGAAGATTGAAGGCAGGAGGAGAAGGGGACGACAGAGGATGAGACGGTTGGATGGCATCATCGACATGATGGACATAAGTTTGAGTAAGCTCCGGGAGTTGGTGATGGACAGGGAGGCCTGGCGAAGGGCAGTCCATGGGTCTCAAGGAGTTGGACACGACTGAGTGACTGAACTGAACTGAGAGTCAATGTACAATTTCTCTTATACATGACAAGTCCTCACAAATAATATAAATATACAAAATATTATCAAATGATTTGTATTTCTTAATTGCTTTGATGCTTATTTATTATTACTGCTTATGTTACTTTACTATTTTTGAAGATTTCTACAATTTTTAAATTACTGATTAAGAATGTATATAGGCTTACTTCTCTCTACTGATTTTTTTTTAGAGAAAACATTTATAAAGTATTTAGAGGTTTTAAAGTTGATTAATCTGTATTTAATGAAATGTTATGCCAATAAAACTGAAACAGGAGAAAAGAAAGACAGAAACTGAAGAAAATAAAATTAGATAATTAGAGCAATGTTAAAATTGACCATTCCTAAATTCCTTCTAAGTTTTATAGCTATTTACAAATTATGAGTAAGGATAAAGCAAGACTTTATGGAATTAATTTTAGAAGTTCTGCCTCAAATTTGTGTCATTTTAATTTATTTTAAATTGATTGTTTTCATGGTAAAAACACAGAACATAGTGCTTCAAAAATGTGTGTTTCCAACAAGACTCATAATGCTAGATTCCATATTTACAAAAAATCATTAGAAAGCACAATTAAATAAATATATTTAATTTAACCATTGATTTTAAACATACAAATATTTATTTCCCATGAATTTTATTGATTGTTACTAAATTAGATTAAGAATGCTTACCTTATCAAGCTGGTAGATTTTTACATTGCACTATAAAAGAAAATTCATTAAAGTAGGCATTTTGTTGAAGGGAATATTAGCCAAATAATTCTACTTATTTTCAGCTTGACACTATGTCAAGATCATTTTAATAATCTTTATTAATATATTTATTAAATTCTATAATTTTTTGAAGAACTGGTTACAATATGGTTTTTGAAGAAAAACTGCTTTTAAATTTCCCTTTGATTACTCCACTAATAAAACATCTTTGAATAATCCTTAATTATATATTTTAGTGGGTTACTTAACATTTAGGTTGCATTAGATCATGGATCTACACATTTAAAATTCTATATTGTATTTGGGAATAAGGGCTATTTTTTATAGTTATATTTTCTTGTCTAAACAAAAATATATTTGTTTCATAATCCAGAAAAAGGAGGGCTAGTCTTTCATTGCATATCATCATCTTGCTTGCTAAAGAAAGAATATTTTAAAGAACTAGGATCCATTTTCAAAAAGACCAGAGGCTTAATTTTCTTATAACTATTCATGTTTTCTTCAGGAACATTAGTCATCCAGGTGACAGCAAGTGACGCTGATGATCCTTCAAGTGGCAATAACGCTCGTCTTGTGTACAGCTTACTACAAGGTCAACCATATTTCTCCATTGAACCAACAACAGGTATTCCTGAATGAAATAACATGCAATTCAACACGATTCTAAGTTGGCAAACATCAGAGCAAAAATTCCCTGCATACAAATGTGTTGTAAAGTGGACCAAATGTTTCCATAAACAAGGAGGTTGTAATGTAATCGTAAGCATTTAATTATTTTTAATTTTTTAGCTGATTTTTCTAAGGTTGGGAGATTAGGTTTTTCACATCCATACCACAAATTATTTGTGTATGGGTTATAAAGCATATCTAAGGTTTATTATAATTTAAAAATATGGGGAAAAGACATTTACAAACAATTGACAAAAAGTTGATACACAGAAAGCCTGCAAGCATATTAAAATTGTGCAACCTTATTAGTCATCATGGAAATGCAAATTAAAATCACAGAGTACCACCTGTACACCCAGCCAGAGTGAGGTTAATCCTGACTTTATGGCTGGGTGTGGGAACTTAAAATTAATAGCTCTGTGTTTTTGTACTTCTGATTTACATGAATATAGCATTTGGTTTTCCTATCCTTGCTTCTTCAATTTCTGTTAATCAATTGAATACTTTACAAAATAAATAAAGCAAAAATCTCTCTCTTTATATCTATTAAAAACATAAGAATTATATAACATTGGTTCATTCAACAAATATGACTTCTTTGGTCACTGCAAAGATTAAGTCCACATAAATATGCTTATGGTATCTAAAGATGAAAAAAAGAAGTACCTAACTAACCACCCATAAATGTGGCAAGTGCCAAAAGCAGTAAAATTCTATGGTTGTTAATGAGACAATTATTATATCCATATTGATGACAAGAAAAGCTTTAAGCAATTAAAGTATGTGTTGGGTCTTTAAGCATTCTTTATTGATTCATTCATTTAGCAAATATTAAATGTCTTAGCCTTTATCAATCAGGTGTCTTGTGAGAATCAGAGTCTGAAAAATATGATTTGAGTGACTATATTCTTAATTCTCCCAGAATAATACCTAGTTTCTATTATCCTGAATGTATAAGTTAAAGTTATTTTAATACATGCAGTGAATGGATGCCTTAAGACATTAGGTTTTCATTCTCTTACACGATCTTGGTTGAGAAGGGCCAAATATGCAACAGGTGTTGTGTTCACAACATACTACATTACAGCCGTACAACACTGCAATATTAAAAAAAAATAAAAGGAAACAACAGGAATTCTTTTTTCTTGGAATTTAAATATAAATATTAAGCATTTGCATATTGATAAATACATGCATACAGTTTGTGTACATCATGAAGTAAAATAAACAAGGTTCAATAGAAGAAAGTAAGCACTATTTCATATTGTCGGGCAAGGCAGAATACACTGAAAACAGGATGCTGAGCTGAGCCTGTGACCAAAGGCAGGAGTGGAAGGCATTCCAGGTTGTAGGAAATCCCTGAGAAGGGGAACTGTTGAAGCCCTTAGACTACCCAGGCCCCACAGTGAGGAAATACAAGGGGAGGAAGACAGAAAGTGGGTTGTCTATGACGTAGGCGTGTGCTGGGGGGGCACTCGACCTTCTCAGCCATTTCAAGCATTGTCTTTCCCCCCTAGTCCTCACTGGCTTCTGAAATATTATATATTGAGAAAATTTGCTAAAGCAATTAATTTCATTAGCAGAGGAGCCGTAGAGTGAGCAGCAAGGCAATTGAAGGCCAAAACACAGGAGAGTTAAATTTCGGAGTGTGTAAGAGGATCTAGGAATATATTTAAATTTGTTCATTCTCAAGATGAGAAGAAAAGAAAATGAAGTAGGCAATGTTAGTTGAAGCCTCTACACATGGGAAGTGAAGGCCTTTGTGTTTCTTTCAGTCTCCACACCTTTGGATATATAATTCAAAAACTCTAATACTATTCACCTTTGCTAACATCAAATACAATTCTCCATTGAGTCACACCTAGGGAAGACAGTAGCAGCATCTGTTTCATAATATTCTATGGTTTCCATATTGATTACACATACTAGAATAGAATTGTGAAACACCAGTCCACAGTTAAAATATCATCATAGTGAAGTCCAATTTATCCTTCTTTTATTTTTGTTCAGGTATCACAGTTTTTAATCAATGCCCAGACATTGTTGAAGATTGGCCATTCTCTTTCTTATATTTGTATTATGTGTTCCCCAAATCTTTATGATTGCATTTTGCCCACCTATTCACCACCTTAAGTTTCTCCTAGGTTTTTTCAATGATGATTAACTTTTTAATAAATAATTTTATAGAAAGTGGACACTTACTACAACAATTTCATGGTCCAGTGTGGGTTTGAATATCTCTGTTGGTAGATCATGAGTAATTGTGAATCGAAGATCAGCCCTTCTTCATATGTTATGACTCAAAATAAATTTTAAACCACAGGTGTACAGTATTTTTTGCATAAATTTAGCATTTTAATTTACACACATATCCATAATAAACCAACTTCTTCCAAGCTTAGGGGAACAGTTAATTGTAGCACCCTAGTTTTAGATCAGAGAAGCAAAGCAGAAAAATAAGACTTTCTTCTTCTCTCCCTGTGGTTTATCTTAACATAGTATTTTACTAAGGATTTACTACTATTAATATTGTGATGACTACTCTAAACGTTAGGCAGAGTTGGTGATTAGTTTATTGTCATATTTTTATCTCCAGGGCAGCATCTGGCACATTGTAGTGATTCAAAATGTGTCAAACAAGTGATCTTATGTTTAAATTCTTAAGAAATTAACTAGGGAGATGTCATGGTTAATCATGAAATAATAATTGTAGTTTGTTACCTTTTTAAAGGAAAAATAAGAATATCTTCTAAAATGGATAGAGAACTGCAAGATGAGTATTGGGTGATTATTCAAGCCAAAGACATGATTGGTCTGCCTGGAGCACTGTCTGGAACAACAAGTGTATTAGTCAAACTTTCTGATGTCAATGACAATAAACCCATATTTAAAGACAGTAAGTAAGAAGTACCCTAACAAATGATTTTTGAAAGTATGGGAAACAGCATAGACTAAGTCTTGATTTAGCAATGTGTTAAAGCATCTGCTTTCAGATTTAGATAGTGTCACTCTCTTCTCAAGAGTAATGTGTTGGCAATTTTTAATTTGTGCAATCAAGTAAATGATTCTTTTAACTTCCCCACAATGATAGATACACGGTAGCACACTTAAACTCTTACTTCCTGAAAACAGCAAAATATTATCAACTTTAAAGTAACATTTCTCCCACTTAAAAAAAGAGAAAGATCTCACAAGGCAGTCTGTGTAGTGACTGGCAATGTGCTTCTAAGGAAATCAAGAATCCCTTTAAAGGAAAATTGTATTGAATGTACTCCTTTTTTTAATTCTAAGATTTATTCTTTAGGATATTATCATTCCTGATGATTTTATACATTTCAGCATAAGTTACAAATGATATATGAGTGACTAATTTTTAATAAGTTTTATGCAAGTTATTTCTGAAAAGTAAAGAAAGGAAGCTTATTTATTTTTATTTGTGTCAATGTATCTCAAATATAACTGCCATTATTTTTTTTCAATGAAAATAATAGAGTCATCTGACACCAGCATGGTTTTTCACAACCAACTATTGTGGCTCCATCATGTTTTTCTTTTTAAAATTATTTTATTGATGTATATTTTGGGCTTCCCTGGTGGCTCAGAAAGTAAAGAATCCACTTGCAATGCAGGAGACCTGAGTTCAATCCCTGAGTTAAGGAAGCCCCCTGGAGAAGGGAATGGCTACCCACTCCAGTATTCTGGCCTGGAGAATTCCATGGACAGACAAGCCTGGTGGGTTACAGTCCATGGGGTCACAAAGAGCTGGACATGACTTAGTGACTTTCACTTTCATAATTGATTCACAATGTTGTGTTAATATCTACTATATAGCAGAGTGATTCAGTTATACACATATATACATTTTCATATTATTTTCCTTTGTTATTTATCACAGGGTATTGGATACAGTTCCCTGTGTTCTACAGGAGGACTTGTTTAACCACTCTCTGTATAATAGTTCTCACCTGTTAGTTCTAAACTTCTAATCCATCCTTTCACCAACTCCCCATCTCACTTGGCAACCACCATTCTGTTCTCTGTATCAATAAGTCTGTTTTTGTTTTGTTCAGTTCAATTCAGTTCATTCGCTCAGTCGTGTCCAGATCTTTGCGACCCCATGAATTGCAGCACACCAGGCCTCCCTGTCCATCACCAACTCCTTGAGTTTACCCAAACCCATGCCCATCGAGTTGGTGATGCCATCCAGCCATCTCATCCTCTGTCTTCCCCCTCTCCTCCTGCCCCCAATCCCTCCCAGCATCAGGGTCTTTTCCAATGAGTCAACTCTTTGCATGAGGTGGCCAAAGTATCAGAGTTTCAGCTTCAGCATCAGTCATAAGTTCATTTGTGTCATTTTTTAGATTCCACATATAAGTTATAGCATATGGCATTTGTCTTTCTCTTCCCAACATACTTCACTTAGTATAATAATCTGTAGGTCCATACATGTTGCTGCAGATATTCTTATTTCATTCTATTTTATGGCTGCATACTTCTGCATCTTTCTATTTCATTTCAACTGTGATTAATACAATCCAAGTTCATATTCTCAAAAATCAAACTGCTACACTTAGAACTCAACTATTTGCTTTTAGACTCTACTTTCTTCAATTCATATTTATATTTATTGGTAATTTGAGGTTTCAGAGAATGCCTGAGTAAAATTGAAAAACTTTTTATCAAATATAATTTGGCATTGTTGAAGCACACAATAGAAAATAAATCCACGAATATTGAGAAGGTATGAGTATGAATGGGCTTCCTTGGTGGCTTAGACAGTAAAGAAGCTGCCTGCAACGCAAGAAACCTGGGTTTCATCCTTGGGTCAGGAAGATCCCCTGGAGTACATATATATCCCCTGGAGAATGTATACCCATTCTCCCTGGAGAATCCCAAGGACAGAGGAACCTGGCAGGCTATAGCCCATGGGGTCACAAAGAGTTGGACATGATTGACTGACTCACATATACACACACAGGAATATGTATAGAAATTTGGAAATTATGTGTAGTGGTGAAAGAACTTTCTAAGATATATTTAAAGAGAAAATAATAAATACTCAAAAAGATATGAGGGAAATGTTTAGACTGCAAAATATAAAGGGAGAGAGAGGTGTATTTAGAAAAAGCAATTAGTGAAAAGAGTGGGTATGTTTTTTTCTGACAGTGCGTTAAATAAAGGTAGGGTGCTATATTTGGAAGTTCTTTATGTTAATTATCTGTGCAAAATATCCTGAATTTTGTTTTTGAAGGTTTATATCGCTTGACTGTCTCTGAATCTGCACCTGTTGGGACGTCTATAGGAAAAATCATGGCATATGATAGTGACATAGGAGAGAATGCAGAAATGGACTACAGCATCGAAGACGATTCAAGAACATTTGACGTCATTACCAATAATGAAACCCAAGAAGGAATAATTATACTAAAAAAGGTAGGTGCATTAAAGTTGTTTCTTTTGCATAATAATGCAAAATCATATCAGAAATACATATAATTATTTTGTGTAACCAGTTAGTGTTTGTTTCAGTTAAGCAATTAAATTAAGACTCAGTGATTTACAGTTTACAGAACAAAGGAAAGATATGTGTGCTTTTAAAAAAATTCTAAGATGTTTCATTTTTTAGAATATTAACATATATGATTATTGTCTACATTTTAGCATAAATTACAAATCATACTTTTAAAATAGCTAATTATCAGTTTTGTGCAAGATACTTCTGAATAAATTAAGAAAAAGTTCAGTTGTTTATATTTCTAATGATATATTTCAGATATAACTGAGGAGAGAGTTATTACAGAGCTCCTTGAATTACACTGTAGGAGAGGTTTTGAAAAAGATTTTAAAGAGGACAAATTTAAAGATTTTAAGAGGACAAACTTTTCAAAAATATCTTAAATAACAGGAAATTAATTCTCAACTCCCTATTTGTACTCAGAAAAGTAGTTTTAATCCTAAAAGAAACCTGATTATTAACCAAATACATTTTGTAATAGATGTAAATAACAAAATACACATAACATAGGGATTTTCTCCACAACTACTAAGTATTTAATGACAATCTCATAGGGATCCAAGAACATAAGTAGTAAAAACCTAACTGGAAAGCACCTGAAACTTAATTTACCAACAAAACCTTTCTTTTCCCCTAAGTAATTCCTTGGGTTTTCTGTGTATACTGTATTACTTTGCAGAAAGTGAACTTTGAGGACCAGAACCACTACCGTATTAGAGCAAAAGTTAAAAACCCCCAAGTTGATGAGCAACTCAGGGAATACCACACTGAAGCTTCCACCACTGTCATCAAGATCCAGGTGGAAGATGTTGATGAGCCTCCTGTTTTCCTCCTCCCATATTACATCTTTGAAATCTTTGAAGAATGCCCTCACGGATCTTCTGTAGGCACGGTCTCTGCCACTGATCCTGATCAGAGGAAATCTCCTATTGGGTATGTCTGGAAGCCCAGCTTTGCATTGATAAATGAGGGAACACAGATTAGCTTGAAAATAAAATTTTTTATAAGTGGAAGAAGGATATATTTAGACCTATATTTATCTCTATGGTCACATAAAATTTGCAACAGTTTAAAGAAGTCAAACAGGAAACCTCACTATTGGTTAAGAAGCACATTAATAAGCACTTGCAAATATGGACAAGAGAGAGGCAGTGCACTGAAATTCAGTGCAATCAACTCTATTAATTGGGATAGAGATGTGAGGGAAAAGAAACCCTTGATTATGCCAAGTGAGAGCAGAAACAAAGTTGATGACAATGTGGTTCATACAAATAGTATTTGATTAAGTTAAAGTAAAAGTCGCTCAGTCGTGTCTGACACTTTGCAACCCCATGGACTTTTATACAGTCCATGGAATTCTCCAGGCCAGAATACTGGAGTGGGTAGCTGTTCCCTTCTCCACTGGATCTTCCCAGCCTAGGGGTTGAACGCACGTCTCCTGCATTGTGAGCTGTTCTTTACCAGTTGAGCCACCAGGGAATGATATTCAAAAGTTAACCAAGCTTTTACAAGGTAACTTTAAAGGCATACAAATGAGTCCAATCAGTTAGAAATAAGTTTTTGTGTTGCAGTTAAACTATATTTACCATCCATTAAATTAGTCTGTTACATTCATGCAATACATTTTCTGCCTTTAAAAAAAAATTTATTCTCCTTGTAGTTCTCATTAAAGATAAAAGCAAAAGCTGTTATTACATTTGGCTGTTGTCACATTTTTCTTATATATGTTGCATAATATTTCACACATAATCATCTAACTTTAATGCTTGTGTATTATTTTTTTTTAATGCCACATTTTCAGCTATGTTTTTACTCATCATTATCTCTGATAGCTCAGTTGGTAAAGAATCTGTCTGCAATGCAGGAGACCCTGGTTCGATTCCTAAGTCAGGAAGATCTGCTGGAGAAGGGATAGGCTACCCACTCCAGTATTCTTGAGCTTCCCTGGTGTTTCAGACAGTGAAGAATCCTCCCTCAATGTGGGAGACCTGGGTTTGATCCCTGGGTTAGGAAGATCCCCTGGAGAAGGAAGAAGCTGCCCACTCCAGTATTCTGGCCTGGAGAATCCCATGGACAGAAGAGCCTGGCAGGCTACAGTCCATGGAGTTGCAAAGAGTTTGCAAAGAGCAACTGACACGTTCATAAAGCATTCATCATTCATTGCCTTATTTATACAACTGAGATTCAATATTTAAATTGTTTCTACAATGTGTCATTATAAATGACGACATAATGAAAACTTTAATCATGAAAGCATTTGTTAAGTTATGTGTTCTTTAGTATTGTCAGAAAAACAAGCAGGTTAACAGACATGCTAATTAAAATTTAAACAGCATACTGTGCTTTGATTATACACACACACACATATATTGGAAGTCTTCCTTGGTGGCTCAGACAATAAAGAATTTGCCTGCAATGCAGGAGACCCAGGTTGGATCCCTGGGTTGGGAAGATCCCCTGAAGAAGGAAATGGCAGCCCACTCCAGTATTCTTGCCTGGAGAATCCCATGGGCAGAGGAGTCCGGTAGGCTACAGTCCATGGAGTCACAAAGAGTCCAACACAACTGAACAACTCACACACACACACATATACTACATATATACTTATGTTCATTACTGAATTTACTGCTAATAAATAGGAACCATATCTACATGTTAGAAGGCAGCATTTTGTGATTAGGAGTTACAGTGGGAAACTGGAGCATCGTCTGTCTTAAAAATGTAAAAAACCTTCTTTGTATCAGTTGCCCTTCCAAAGAGCAAAGCAATACCCAGCATCTTAATATATGGAAACCTGTGTAATTCTCTGGACTATAAATATGGAAAATAGATGAATAAGGGAAGGTGGTGAAGGAAAACATGTATTAATAGTTGTTTTAAGGAGTTCAGTGTGCTGGGAGTTAGGACCTCGAAATGATCTGTAATAAAAACTCCATCATAAAGTTATAAGAAACTGCACAAGAAATCTTCCCAAAGTTTTTCATCTTATCCCCATTCTCTATATTACTGCATTGTTTAGATGACAGATAGAAGGAATGAATACTTTTGCCACTACTGTGGATGATTCATTCCTTGGACATTGTTAAAATTTCCTTTCTAACTAAACCTAGAGTCAAATCTTGTAATTTATATATATATGGGAATGACAGCAAAATCTTTTCTGTCCTAAAAAGAAGAGCAAGTTAAATTTAAGCAAAAAAAAAAAAAAAAAGAAAATTAAAAACTTTAGAGCAGAAACAGTGAAATTGAAAATAGAGATATACAATGGAATGATAGCTGGTTCTTCCAAGACACCAGTAGAAATTATCTTTCTAAACAGACTACCAAGGGGAAAAAGAGAAGAGACAGAAGTTACCATTATCAGAAATGAAGGAGGGAATGCAGTTATTGAACCTGTAGACATTAAACAGTATTATAAGGAGATACTGAGAACAACTCTGTGTCTTTGAATTCAGACCAAATTTCTTGAAAGAGAAAAACTGCCTGCATTCACAGCAAAAAATAAATAATCTGAGTAGTTAGGCTTGTGGGAAACAGTCTAGCTCACAAGCTGGAAGCAGGTTTGTGTTTCGTTCAAGAATGACAAGGATTTCTTCCACCAGCGGAAGAAGCTGCCTTTAAACATCTTTCACCTGAATCACAGACTTAGAGAACAGACTTGTAGTTGCCAGGGGGAAAGCTGGAGGAAAGGGATAGTTAGGGAGTTTGGGATGCACATGTACACACTGCTATATTTAAAGTGGATAACCAACAAGGAGCTGGTGTATAGCACCACTGTCCATGGGATTCTCCAGGCAAGAATACTGGAGCAGGTTGCCATTTCCTTCCCCAGGGAATCTTCCCAACCCCGGGACTGAACCCAGATCTCCTGCACTGGAGGCAGATTCTTTACTGCCAGAGCCAGCAGGGAAGCCCCTTAGCACAGGGAACCCTGCTCGATGTTATGTGACAGCCTGTATGGGAGGGGGGTTTGGGGGAGCCAGGGCACATGCATATATATGCCGAGTCGTTTCCCTCTTCACCTGAAATTATCACAACATTCTTTGTTAATTGGCTATACCCCAATACAAAGTTAAAAGTTTAAAAAAAAACCCAAATCCTCTATTGCTTGTGCATAAAAGCATACTTAAAAGCCTCCTTGAAAGATCTGGTGGAGTTGCACCTACTAGGGAAGATTTAGCCTTTTTATAGGCTTGGCTTTTGTGTGTCTGTTCTTCTTCTGGGAGATGGGAATAGTACTTTTGTAGAGGTCTATGAAGATTAAGAACAGACTATAAAGGCAGCCTTATATGCATGGAGAAATCATTTGTTTATATCTTTCTGTCAGGAGCCCTTAGCAGTGAGAAAACACTTAATAACCACATTCTATTCACTCAGCACTTTTAGTGGAATGAAGAGTCTTTAAAAAGGAATTGCAAAGCAAACCAAAGATTAATCTGAACATCTAGACTTTACATTTTAGGCTTTTTAGTCCATGCTCTTTCTAATATATATTACACACTTATTTCTTAAATGGTGAAGTGAAGTGAAAGTTGCTCAGTCATGTCAGACTGTGGTGTTGGAGAGGACTGTTGAGAGCCCCTTGGACTGCAAGGGGATCAAACCAGTCAATCCTGAAGGAAATCAATCCTGAATATTCATTGGAAGGACTGATGCTGAAACTGAAGCACCAATATGTTGGCCACCCGATACAAAGAGCTGACTCGTTAGAAAGACTCTGAAGCTGGGAAAGATTGAAGTCAGGAGAAGGGGACGACAGAGGATAAGATGGTTGGATGGCATCACCGAATTAGTGGACATGAGTTTGAGCAAGCTCTGGGAAATGGTGAAGGACAGGGAAGCCTGGCATGCTGCAGTCCATGGGGTCACAAAGAGTCAGACACAACTGAGCAACTGAACAACAACCATTTCATTGTGCCAAAAAATCCAAGTAGGAAATGTGACCACTTGTGGATATGTAAGCAAATTGCTTATAAAGATTTAACAATGAGCAGAGTTAAAACTGAATTTCCTTAAAGCTTAATTCTCTGTAGTTTCTATTTTAATTTCCCCCTGAACACCAACCTACAAATTAGTGTGATATTTTTAGGGACCTGTCAATTCAAGATTAAAATATTCTCATCTACTGCCACAGAACATGGAAAACCTCACTGATGTCTCATCAAAGTCTTCAGCAATACATATGCAGTTAGAAGCCATCGTTGAACTCTAGTTATTACTCTTCTTTAATTTTTATTATTAATCATTTGCAAGCAGATAAGACATGCTGAGTATTTCAAAGACTTCTTGCATTGTGGAATTTGAGATAATTTCCCAGGCTTTTGCATGAGAGAATTTTATTATCTGACTTCTTTCCAATAATGACCTAATATGCCTACTATCTTTACTTCCTCTCTTTTAAGATATGTATACACATATAACATATACTTTATTTTTATTAGGGCTTCCCTGGTGGCTCACTTGGTAAAGAATCTGCCTGCAATGCAGGAGACCACCTTCCTGAAGGAGACTAGGGTTCAATTCCTGGGTTGGGAAGATCCCCTGGAGAAGGGAGTGGCAACACATTTCAGTATTCTTACCTGGAAAATCCCATGGACAGAGGAGCCTAGTGGGCTACAGTCCATGGGAGTCACAAGAATCGTACATGACCTAGCAAAAACACTATCAAGTTATTCCCTTTAAACAGAAAAAAAAAAAAAGAACATTTCTCATATGTCAAAAATCAAGTAATTATAATGTGATGCACAGATTTAGAAAGCAACTATGTGGTACAAGAAGGGGACTCAGCAACCTACAGTGAGGATTTGTGTTACATTGTCTCAAAGAGGGGAAAAATGTATTACAAGCTTTAATCTTTACCTGCATTTATTTGTACTTCTCTTCATTTTGCAAAAGACATTTTGCCATTTCTTTTTAACCAAGTCATTTACTTGTTAAAATTCTCTCTTGGGAATGAGAGTGAGTGGTGTGTCCGGATTTGGCATGCATCATTTGAAAATTAGAGTTTTTTCAGATTTTTCTCCTCTGTCTCCATTGAGTTGAATATAAATGTAGAAATTACTTTTTTGAAATTTTTCAGCATTATACTAGCTCTCTAAGAATGTAGATTTGATATCCTTTTGCTTAAAAAGGATGATGTGTAGTCTTTAAAGTATGTTGTACAGAGAAAATAATACTTTTAAGAAATAATTTGTGTCTGTGTGTGCAGATATTCTATTGCCAGAAGTGAGGTGTTCAGTGTTGATGACAATGGCACAATCTTTATAACTAACCGACTTGATCGAGAGACTAGTGCTTGGTACAACCTAAGTGTTACAGCCACGGAAAAATGTAAGTATTCATTTGAGAACCATATATTGGTTCACTGTATTTTTTAACACATTCAACAACCTCTAAACATAGGGACAAAAGGTAGGTTAAAGTGTAGCTGAAATTAGAATTAAACGTTATTTTATATATCAATTCATGCAAGTGTATATAATTTATTATTTAAAAGTTAACAGCTTGTTCATTCTTACCACAGCTTATTTATATACTTACCACAAAATATCTCTATTTTATTATGGCAATACATAATGTTTAATACAAGAAATGAATCATAGGAGATTCAGAGAAACATAAGAAATAAACCCAAGTCACTTGAAATTCTAAAATCTTTAATTAATTATAGACTCTTACAACACATTTTAAATCAATTTTTTTAAACATTGAATATAAATTTTGCAAGTTATTTTTCAAATTGGACATGTAAAATATTGCCCAGCGAAATATGTTCAAATAAAATTCATGATGTCAGCTGTGCTAATGGTCACGTCTTCAATAATCAGTAGTGACCAGGTATTTTTCCATTTTCAGGTTTCAAAACGTAGATAAAATTATCCAGTTTAGCAGTTAATGTCTTCAAAATTTAAATTAATCAGTTATTAAATTAATCAAGCTCAAAAAAATAGAGAGAACACAATGGAAAAGACTATCAAAATCATCACTATTGTAGTCATTGGATTTTGTATAATACAGTAAAGGATTCAGTTTGTGAATTTGAAATGTATCGGAATTCATCCTTTCCAAACTGATTTTATATAGAATTTTAATAATCATGTTTATCTTCTTGGCTTGCTCTTTGAAAGTCTTTAAACACATATCTTACTCCTTACTTTATTGAGAAGTTTGCTGTTGAGATGCTGGAATGGAAAGCGTCTCTTGTGTATTTTGTTATACACTGAGTGCCTCTTTGGCACCCAGGAAGATTGGGTCTGAGTCTTGAATTTTCTGTTTAACTAAACACTAAATGGATGGGAGCAAATGTTGCAAGGGGATAAATGTCTGCTGCACAGAAGAAATGCCAAAGCTTTTGGTGTCAGAAATCACAAGAATGTTTAGCCTAAAAGCAAGAAGCTTTTATTCACTGGATATTTTGGAGAAAAAAATATATCACTGTTTACAAAACTATTAAAAAAAAGAATTCAAATCAATTCAAAGGATGAGTGAACATCTTTGAAAAATGTGTTTCTCAATGAAGTAGTTTTCAACTGTTAATGTTTTAATGAAATTTATGTAAATAATTTATGTAACTTTATGTAAAAAATTTAAAACACGTTTTAATGAAATTTATGTAAATAATTATCCACTGTAATCTTATTTTATATATAAGGAGAACTTAAGTAAGGATATTTCATTAACTTCTATTAAATTAGAAGAACCATAATTTATGTTATTAAAAAGCAGTGTCTTTAAAATTGATTATGTGTATTCTAAGACAAAAATATTGTAAAAAAAATTATAAAACAAAATTTATAAATAAAAGGAGACTAAAAATATGGTTAAGGAAAAAATTCCCAAGAAAACAAACTGAAAATAAACAATATATTTATATTACATGAAATTTATTACTGAGAAGTTAATCACTGTTCCAGAAATAAGTGATTAGAAATGTTATCAAGTTTAGAAATTACATAGTTATTGCTGATCTGTTTCTTGTGCTATAAAATTCATTTTCTTAGAGTAAAAAAAATTATTTTAAACTCATCTTTGAACATATATTTTGTAAAATGTCTGTTTCATTTTAAGGGAACTTGCTTAGCAAGAACTTATGTAACACCAAGCATCCAATTTTCATGTATTTTTCCCTCTATCTCTTGATTAATTTTTAATCCACATTATTAAACTCACTTTAGAACAATTTTGGAGAAAATAATTGTAAGTGCCAATTTTTTATGGTAATATTGACATCAAAAATAATTTTTGACCCATTTAAGTCACTTAAGACATATTAATATAAACAAAACACTCAAATAGTGGAAAACAGAGCTTCATATAAAATTGTTACATAAAGCACTTGTTGCATGCATTAACTATCTGGAAGGTTGTGACCTATCAGTTGTGCTGATTATAGGAAAGACATGTTTCAAGTTAACATGTGTTTTCCTGGCAAATGAAGTTCACTGTGTGCTTAGTCTTTTTCCTGGAAAGTTTCCCAAATTAAGCACCAAGCTATTCATCAACATGCCAGCTAAGTGAACTGTCGGGGGAGCTTGTGATTTCCTCAGCTGTGTCTCACCAACAGCAGACATCTGAAGCAATGGACAGACCATTGTTACAGCTCAGTATATTTTGGCAAGCAAAGGAAAATACATCCTCGAGCGAGGAGTGAGGGTGGGTCAATCCAAAAGACGCAAAGAGAAGAGAAGCCCCCGGCTCAGTTTTGGCTCCTCTTTTTTTAATGCGTTAGCCAGGAGGGCTGTTTGTTTTACCTGGGGTTCTCACTCCGGTCCTGGGACCTTCCTTTGTTCTATTTTCATGGGCTTTTCCCCCTTTTTGTCTTTTAGCCACTGCCATTCTGGACTCATTTTCCCTATTCTAACTACTTAACAGAATAAAACAACTAACTACTTTATTTTTTTTTTTCATTTATTTTTTATTAGTTGGAGGCTAATTACTTCACAACATTTCAGTGGGTTTTGTCATACATTGACATGAATCAGCCATGGAGTTACATGTATTCCCCATCCCAATCCCCCCTCCCACCTCCCTCTCCACCCGATCCCTCTGGGTCTTCCCAGTGCACCAGGCCTGAGCACTTGTCTCATGCATCCAGCCTGGGCTGGTGATCTGTTTCACCCTAGATAATATACATGTTTCAATGCTGTTCTTTCGAAACATCCCACCCTCGCCTTCTCCCACAGAGTCCAAAAGTCTGTTCTGTACATCTGTGTCTCTTTTTCTGTTTTGCATATAGGGCTATAATTACCATCTTTCTAAATTCCATATATATATGTGTTAGTGTGCTGTAATAGTCTTTATCTTTCTGGCTTACTTCACTCTGTATAATGGGCTCCAGTTTCATCCATCTCATTAGAACTGATTCAAATGAATTCTTTTTAATGGCTGAGTAATATTCCATGGTGTATATGTACCACAGCTTCCTCATCCATTCGTCTGCTGATGGGCATCTAGGTTCCTTTTATTTCTTTTTCTTCTCTAACTGCCGTAGCTAGGATTCCAAAACTATGTTGAATAATAGTGGTGAGAGTGGACACCCTTGTCTTATTCCTGATCTTAGAGGGAAAGTTTTTAGTTTTCACCATTGAGAATAATGTTTGCTGTGGGCTTTTCATACATGGCCTTTACTATGTTGAGGGAGGTTCCTTCTATGCCTATTTTTTGAAGTGTTTTTACCATAAATTGATGCTGGATTTTGTCAAAGGATTTTTCTGGATCTATTGAGATGATCATATGGTTTTTATCTTTCAATTTGTTGTTATGGTGTATCATGTTGGTTGATTTGCATATATTGAAGAATCCTTGCATCCCTGGAATAAGCCCAACTTGAAAATGGTGCATGAGCTTTTTAATGTGTTGTTGGATTCTGTTTGCTAGAATTTTGTTGAGGATTTTTGCATCTATATTCATCAGTGATATTGGCCTATAGTTTTTTTTTTTTTAATATTGTCTTTTCCTGGTTTTGATATCAGGGTGATTGTGGCCTCATAGAATGAGTTTGGAAGTGTTCCTTCCTCTGCAGTTTTGAAAGAGTTTCAGAAAAATAGGCAGTAGTTTTTCTCTGAATATTTGATAGATTTCCCCTGTGAAATGATCTGGCCCTGGGCTTTTGTTTTAGGAGAGATTTTTGATCATTGCTTCAACTTCACTGTTTGTAATTGGGTTGCTCATAATTTCTATTTCCTCCTGGTTCAATCTTGGGAGGCTCATTTTTTCTAAGCATCTGTCCATTTCCTCTAGGTTGTCCATTTTGTTACTATATAGTTACTCATAATATTCTCTTATAATCCTTTATATTTCTGTGTTGCCTGTTGTAATCTCTCCTTTTTCATTTCTAATTTTATTGATTTGATTTTTCTCCCTTTTTTGTCTTGATGAGTCTGGATAGTGTTTTGTCAATTTTATTAATCTTCTCAAAGAACCAGCTTTTAGTTTTATTAATCTTTAATATTGTTTCCTTCATTTCTTTTTCATTTGTTTCTGCTCTGATTTTTATGCTTTACTTCCCTCTGCTGACTTTGGGGGTTTTCTGTTCTTCTTTTTCCAGCTGTTTTAGATGTAGAATTAGGCTGTCTATTCAATGTTTTTCTTGCTTCTTGAGGTATGATTGTACCACTATAAACCTCCCTCTTAGAATGGCTTTGCTGAGTCCCATAGGTTTTGGGTCATCATAATTTCATTGTCATTTGTTTCTAGGAATCCTTTGATTTCTTTTTTTATTTCTTCAGTAACTTCTTTGCTATTTAGTAATGTATTTTTTAATCTCCACGAGTTTGTGTTTTTTGTTGTTTTGTTTTGTTTTTTTTCCCTGTAGTTGATATCTAATCTCATAGTGTTGTGGTCAGAGAATATACCTGATACAATTTCAATTTTCTTAAACTTACTGAGGCTTAATTTGTGGCCCAAGATGTGGTCTATGCTGGAGAATGTTCCATGTGCACTTGAGAAGAAGTGTATTCTTCTGCATTTGGGTGGAAAGTCCTGAAGATATCATTTAGGTCCATTTGGTCTAATGTTTCATTTAAGGTTTGTGTTTCCTTATTGATTCTCTGTTTTGATGATCTATCCATTGATGAAATTGGGGTATTAAAGTCCCCCACTATTATTGTGTTGCTGTTGATTTCTCTTCTTATGTCTGTTAGTGTTTGCCTTATGTATTGGGTGCTCTTATGTTGAGTGCATGGACATTTACCTTTGTTATGTCTTCTTGGATTGATTCCTTGATCATTATGTAGTGTCCTTCTTTGTCTCTTACAATATTCTTTATTTTAAAGTCTATTTTGTCTGAAATAAGGATTGCCACTCCAGCTTTCTTTTGGTTTCCATTCACA